AAAAAAAAAAAAAAATTAGCCGTGTGTGGTAGTGCACACCTGCAGTTCCAGCTACTTGGAGGGCTAAGGTGGAAGGATCGCCAGAGCCCAGCAGGTTGAGGCTGCGGTGGCCGGGAGTGGCCACTGCACTCCAGTCTGGGCGATGGAGTGAGACTCCAACTCAAAAAAAAAAAAAGAAAGAAATTTTTGTTTGCAAATATTCCACAGCAATGTTTAAATAACAGGAAAAATTTCATAACAACATCAAGAATTTGTATCAAAACAACTATGGCTTGTGTCTTCATTCGATGCTTGCCCTCTGTCAAAGAAGGACCATACTTTGAATACTGGAGTCCTAGTTACATCATGCATAACACCTGAAAATCATTTGAATAATCCAATACAAAACATGAAAGTTCAAAAAGTAAGTGTTAGAAATTATGCTTTTCTTAGCGCTTCCTATTATTGCTATAGATTGGAAAGTGCTGTCTTGTCTAACAAGAACTAAAAGTTTTGTCTTACCTTTGCGAGGGGAACCTTGAGGAGATGCAGGAGGACTGGAATGTAAAGATGATGCCACAGAAATGGTGTCGTCTATGTGTCTCTTGTTGTTTACTTCTTCAGTTGTTTCTAAAACTTTCTGAGGTAAACTTGTACCTAAAAATAAAACCAAAGATGCAAACAGTGGTCATTTCACAACTAAAATGCCTGTGGTTGCCTAAATCACTACATAACTAAAGCTATGATGCAAAATGGCTAGTGTAGTCAATTGAAATGTGTAAATGACAAACAGGGACTAAATGACTGGGTAATGGCATACAGAGATTCTCACCTCTAGGTTATCTGTTATAAATTCAGCTGGTCAGCACAGAACAGATTTTAATAATTAAACAGTTTATCTGTTTTGTGGTATAAGGGAAATCAACTTAACAGTCTGAGTACAGTGCCCCACCCCCCACAATTTTGACACACTTGTTTGAAAATTGAATAGAGAAGGCATGGATTCAAACTCTTCCCTCCCCTCTAGAGGTGGCCTCTCCAAGTTAGGGCGAGGCATGTGGCAGGAGCAGTGTGGGGATGTTGGCACTGTCACTACCTGTGGTGCATCTGTGCTGTGGGTATACAGAAGAGGCTGCAGGGCTGCCAGTCCAGCCCTTTTCAAGAGCACTAAATTCACACTACAGGAGAGAAGTAAACAACAGAAAGAATAATGAATTTATAGAGAAATAGTATGGAGTACACTGGAAAGTTCTGCAAAGTTCTATCATTACCCTTGTCCAATATCTTGTCCTGTTTAGTGTAGGTCAAACTGAGCAATGATTTCAATACTCTGATGTTTTTACATGTGTCTTAACTAAGAAATGTCAAAGAACTATTGACACTGTTCCTAACAAGTAAGCAAACTTTGATGAGGATTTGGCATAGTAATAAGCAATCTTCTGACAAAGAAAAAATTTAAATCACAGTATATTCACACTACCCTTCATTACATGCCATTTATATATACATATATTTATCACTTAAATAACAGTCATATTATAAGAAGAAAGCAAGCAAGCTACATGGTATAAGAAATATTGCCTCTCAAGTGATGGTACTCAAGAGACCAGAACTAATCTTGTCTCTTGCTTACTGCCACCAACAAATATATCAACTTTGTCAATTATGCATCCGATTCTCTCTTTTTTTCCACAGTCACCACACTAATCCAGGCCCTGGGCAACTTCCAATGAACTGTAATATCAGCTTTCCATCTGAGCTCTCTATCTCCAGTGTTGCTGCACACTCTGCTATAGCTATTCTTCACAAACATAATTTGAACCACTTTCCACTGACCACTTTCCTTTGGCATGGCAGGTTATTATTTCGCCCTATGACTTCACTTCTCTAAATCATGGCAGGCTATTTAGTACAGTGGTTAAAATCAAGGATTTAGAGCCAGTCAGCCTGGGCTCTACTCCCAGCTCCATCATTTACGGGTAAGTATGCAAGTTACTTAGACACTCTATGCTTTCTTTTAGAATGAAAGTAAAATAACACCTATATTGTGGGGGATACTATGAAGATTAAATTAATAAATAAAGTTAATGAAGTACCTTGAACTATGCCTGGCACTCAGTAAATGCTAAGTGTTAGCTTTAATTATTACTGTCAACACTGCATGCAATTTGTGCTCAGAATCAGCAAAGTGCTTATAGTTCCTTGCAGATACCAAGTTGTTTTTCTTGCCTGAAGCAACTTTTCTGGAACTTTTGCCTTATTAGTTTCTTTATCAACATTTAAGACCCTGCTTAAGTGTTATCTTCAAAAAGCCTTCTTCTGAAATCCCACCTTAATTCCTGCCCGAACTAAAAGTTCGTTTTGTTCTTTATATGTTCTGTATATATCCTGGGCATAACAACAAACATGTTATACTGAAGCCATCTGTTTGTGTCTGTATCATCAGAATGAAAATCGAGCAAAGAAGTGGGAATTAAGCCAGGCTCGGTGGCTCAGCCTGTAATCCTGCGCCTTTGGGAGGCTGAGGTGAG